ATTGTGAATATCATCTTTACCTCTTTGAGGGAGATGCACAGTGAGCAGGTACTTAAAATGGATGATGAGAAATGCACAACTAAGTTGCTCTAGAAGTTGGTATCTTAGGGCAGAACACAGAGGAGAACAAAAGAAAAATATGATCATTGCTTGAGGGTCTTTCTTATGTTTTGTGATGAATGGTCTATTTTTTAAGTCACAATGATGAAATTTTACTTGCACTGCATTTGTGTATTGAGGAGACTGTCTAGAGGGATTATAGGAAGTCCCATCTAATTTGAGAGATTACTATGATTTTTTTAAATGGAATATCTTATTACACATTTAAAGTGAAAATTTATCTTAAAATCATGACCAGGCTCCTTAGGGTCATGAAATGAACAGTGAACTGAATTTAACTAGAGAGAAAAGGCTGAAGATGTAAAGGGCTACCTTATCCTAAAAGACTTTGTGACACACCAAAATGCCTGCAGTTTAGTAAAAAATTCTAAAAGGGAAAATAATTATGTCATCATAGATGAGAAAATTCCTTCTTTACTGATACATATGGATGGAGAATGAAAGAGGCACATATACGGCAACAGCAAAAGGAATCATGAGGTTCACAGAACAGTAAGACAATGAGTCTGAAATGCTTAAAACTGCTAGTTTCTGTGGGGAAACTTACTGTCGATTGAATTGACCATTTGAACAGAGGTGAAGAATATATACATTTGTGTGAAAGAGAATTATTAGAGATTATTATGGTCTTTGAAATGACTAATTATAGCTGGTTGGGATAAGGGAACAAGCTCCATGGGTTCTGAGTATATCCTGGCCATTCATTTTAGCATATACTTGATAGTGTTCATGAGGACCTCATCTGAAGGAAATTCCTTAAAGAATTGTTCAATATGGTTTATTTATTTAATTTTTAAAATTGGCCTAAGCTAATTTTAATTAAAAAGCTCACAGTTTTATTTCTCCTATTTACAAATTTGGGTCCAAACCACACCTTAAATAAAAAAGACAACATATTAGAAAGGTTCCATAAGGTTGCCTTCAGGCCATACTACATTGAAAGAAACAGCATCATCCCCTCTGACTTTTTATGTCCAAATCTCTATCAGTCCCTGTCTCTGTCTCTCTGTTTTGTTCCTTTCTCTATCTCTGTCTCTCTGTCTCTCTTTCTTTCTATCTGTCCTCTGTCCTTTTCCCTTCTTCCCTCCCTCCCATCCCCTCACCATCCCTCTGTAAAACTCACTGAGAAAAGGATAGTTTAAAAATAAAATTTCCTTTCCTTAATGTGTAAAATTATCTCCAAGAGCAAAGCTGTTGTGTGTCAAGTGTCAGCCTTGAGCCCAGGGCAGTACTGCCAAGGCTGCGATGTCCAGAGCATTGGAGTGAGGAAGGGAGAATGACAGAGCATTTCCTGCCTTGATCTCTGTGTGACTGAGCTAACAATCAGCTTATGATTGTTTAAATGCCTTGGTTGTTTAATCCCCAGAATTTATATTTAGTTTGAGGTATTAAGGTCTTAGAAGGATAAATCTATGAAAGCTAAAATGAAATGGCCATCCTGAAAGAGTAATCCTTAATTTCAAAGAGATACAAAAATTACATTGTTTAGCTTTAAAAATTTGGACACATTGCACAGACGTGGAAAGCAATAAAAGATTAGAAGGTTGGAATAAAGGACCTTTGAAATAAGATTATTAGTTCTCAGTGAGGATTTAACCATGAGAGGAGGTAATTGTTTTTCTTTTTTTGTATCAACACATGTTCTAATACCTCAGTGAAAATTTTTAGCATCTACATTATATGCACTGAATTGCACCAATTTAAGGGCTTTTCAAACATCACATGGAGACAGCATCCATTTTTGGAGTAAAGTCTCATTTAGTGAATGAGTGCCTACTGGAATGAAATTTAACAGTAGAGATGAAGGGATTCCATGTAATCATGAACATATAAATTGTAAAAGACAAATGTAATACTCATTTTCCAAGGAAAATTAATTTTCATAAAAAATACTGCCTAAAATGTCATTTTTTTAAACAGTAGTGGCAGTAACATTCAGTGATGATCACAGAAAAATGATTTTACATTTCTTTCCCATTAATTCTGTATGTTCTCTATCTACCCCACTTGCAATGTACTTTGATTCTTATAACAATCTTTGACATATTTATTCTTAAGTTTTCATATGATATAAGTAAAATAGAATTCAACATTGAAAGTTGGTCCCTAAGAAAATGTTCTCACTCAAACATACTGTATTTTGCCAGAGTCAAACAACTGTATCCCAAATAGAATTTATTTTACATCTCTGTGATACCTTGTATGTAAATAAATGGGTATTTTTCCTATGGTCTTTAGTTAGTCCTTTTTCTTTTCTGTAATATTGAATACTTTCAAAACTCATTTTTAACAATAGCATTTTAATAATCTTAAAATTATTTAAAAATATTTATAGTACATTTTGAATCAGACATATGCCACTAAGTTATTAAAAAGTATAGGCTAAAAATTTTCAATATTTAAATTGTAATAAAACTTTAAAAATTACCTGAGGAATCTTTTTTAGCATCATCTATTCATGAATGCAAAGCAACCATCCCATCATTTGAGGTTTTCATGAAAGACTAAATTCTCATTGGTGGATCAAAACATCATTTATTTATTAAAGCCAGTTTTGAAAGTTTGCCTTATGGCAAAATACTTATCTTTCCAAGTGAGTATAACACATAATTTGTCAATGATTTAATTATCTCTGGGTCTTTACTAATATTTTTATGCCTAAATAGATTTGAGATTAACCTGGGACTTTCCTAATTGTAATACTCTGCCACATATTTCTATGAAAAATTGATTACAAAGCAAACTCCTTGATACTGTTCCTTTACTTAAGTACGGATTGATTTGATTGGTTTTTTTCCTGTGTTTGTCCCATGCTTCTTTATTCTGCTTTTCATAATGTATAGTTTCTTTTCTATGATTTAATTCTTTATCGTCTGTTATCCCTCTCAAATTTTTCTTCCTTCATTTCATCCTCTCTTTATTCTATGAACTGCTTTTAATTAAATGTCAAGAAAAAGACCAACACTTGATAAAAAGCTGCAGACTAACCTGTTTCCCACCAAGGTGATAGGAAAACAATGTAGTTGTTATCTTGGACATCTTAGGTTATCTGCATATGTGAATGTGTGTATGTGTAAATATGCATTAATGATCTGTTTGTAAACATGAGCATGTATGCACCAACAATCTGTGTGTGTGATCTTCTGTATGTGTAAAACACAGTATTATTTTACATGTTCACTATTTTGGCAAAAAATAAATATGAAAAACATACTCTACCTTGGAATTTTGAAGATACTTATTTCAAACCCATTTTAAAGTTACAGAATTATATAACAAAAACTGATTTTGGCTCTCTTTGGGGAAAACTATTTGAACTTTTGAGGACATTTGAAAAATCCACTATTCAATGTTGAACCTTGCTGAGTACCCAATTTTGACAACTGTTTACACCAAGATTTCAATGAGAGTAAAGCAAAGAAAAATTACCAAATTTCTTTTTCCTCGAAAATTTTCATGTGAAATACAGCCAGGCGGTCAAAGGTCAAAATGTGGTTAGTAGGGAAAAGGACAGGAGGCTGGGAGGCAGGTCCCCTTGCCTCTTCATAGCAGATGAAGGGTATGACTGAATGATGAACTGTCAGTGTTCTCAAGACAAAATGAAAGGCAAGAAAATGAACTCAATCTTTCATCAGTATGTCTGTGAAACAAGAACAGTTTAAACGCTGGGGGAAAATGGGTGAAAAACAAGAAAATAATTATTTTTCTCATTGTCCTAACAATTCTTACCCTACTACTCTGATCTCAGCATTTAGCATTAGGCCAATTTATTTGCCTTATGACCTCAAACCATGATTAGAGTTTATGGTGAGAGATGAGTTTGTTCTAAGGATTTATGCTTTGGTTTCAGGTAAGAAAATATGATCCTCAATTCAGGTGGGATATATATTATTTTATAGAATTTATGCTGGAGATAAATGTAGAGACAGAACTAAATAAGCAAATATAATAAGGGAAGTAAGATTGAAGGGAGAGAAAGAAAGGGCGAAGGAGAGAAGGAAGAAGAGAAAGATGGAGGGCAACAATACAGGAAAAGAAACATGACCAAGTGGAATAGCACCCCAATAACTGCTTGTAGTCTCACATCTTCTTACCCAGAGACTCATAACTTTCATAATATTTAGGCACAGTTGTAGAAGAATTTTTTAGAGAACTAATCTTAAAAGTATTAAGAAAAACTCAGAAGTGAATTTTTCTTCTTAGTTCAGCAGCAACTACTAAAACAGAACTCTACAAACTGACTAGTAACTAATGAAAATAAATTGTAAGATTTACAGTTCTCTAGCCAGGAATCCAAGACCCAGAGGCATGCCAATGGAGAGATTGCACTTGTTTTTTTTTTCTTTGTTGTTGTTGTTTGTTTGTTTGGTTTGGTTTGGTTTTTGTTTTTTTTTTTTTTTTGCATGTTTTTTTATAAATAATTTTCTCTTGGTGACTATGAAACAAACTCATTATTGAGCACATTTCTCCTAAGACCTAATGACTTCCCTTATGATTCATTGTCCATCATCTGTAATTCATACCAAGTTTCAAACAATCTAATAGTTTCTGGATTTGGTGTGAGTAATAATTAAGAAAATCTTGTGTGGTTTCAATTGTTTTTCTTTTTCCCTGTATGCATCTCTCTCTCTCTCTCTCTCTCTCTCTCTCTCTCTCTCTCTGTCTCTCTCTCTCTCTCTCTCTGTCTCTGTGTGTGTGTGTTGGATCTTTATTTTGTATTATTACTGTTCGTAGGTTGGACAAAAAGTTCAAGGAGTAGTGATCTGTGGTTTATGGCAGTTCAAGTACATATGTATACACAATTTAATGCACACACAGTAACATAGATTCGAAGTATTTATTGAGATTCACTTTTTTTTTCTTTCATTTTTTTTTCCTAGAACCTCAACCTACTGGCTCACTCGCATCCAATCTTTTCTCTACTGCAATGAGAATGGCCTCCTGGGCAGCTTCTCTGAGGAGACGCACTCCTGCACCTGTCCCAATGACCAGGTAGTGTGCACATCTTTTTTGCCCTGCACTGTGGGCGATGCCTCCGCCTGCCTGACTTGTGCACCTGACAACCGTACCCGCTGTGGCACCTGCAACACTGGCTACATGCTGAGCCAGGGACTCTGCAAGCCTGAAGTCGCTGAGTCAACAGATCACTACATTGGCTTTGAGACTGACCTGCAAGACCTGGAGATGAAATACCTGTTGCAGAAAACTGACCGACGAATAGAAGTCCATGCCATCTTTATCAGCAACGATATGCGCCTCAATAGCTGGTTTGATCCTTCCTGGCGAAAGCGAATGCTCCTGACCTTGAAAAGTAACAAGTACAAGTCCAGTCTGGTACACATGATCCTGGGTCTCTCTTTACAGATTTGCTTAACAAAAAACAGCACGTTAGAGCCAGTGCTGGCTGTTTACATCAATCCCTTCGGGGGCAGCCATTCAGAGAGCTGGTTTATGCCAGTGAGTGAGAGCAGCTTTCCAGACTGGGAGCGGACTAAGCTGGACCTCCCACTACAGTGTTATAACTGGACACTGACTCTGGGAAACAAATGGAAGACATTTTTTGAGACAGTACACATCTACCTGAGGAGTCGTATTAAGGCAAATGGTCCCAACAGCAACGAGAGTATTTACTATGAGCCTTTGGAGTTTATTGACCCATCCCGGAACCTGGGCTACATGAAAATCAATAACATCCAAGTGTTTGGCTACAGCATGCACTTTGACCCTGAAGCTATCCGAGACCTGATTTTGCAGCTCGACTACCCCTACACTCAGGGATCCCAGGACTCGGCACTTTTACAGCTATTAGAGATAAGAGACCGTGTAAATAAACTCTCCCCACCTGGTCAGCGCCGTCTAGATCTTTTCTCTTGCTTGCTTCGTCATAGACTCAAGCTGTCTACTAGTGAGGTGGTGAGAATTCAATCTGCTCTGCAGGCATTCAATGCCAAATTACCAAACACAGTGGATTATGACACAACCAAATTATGTAGTTAACCGTAAATGTCAAGCACAACCCAAAACCTTGAAGGAGTTTTTACAGTGCTTTTGTGGAACAGTTTATGTTTGGAAAAGTAAATTTAAATTGTCTTTTCAATATCTGTCTTATATCAGTCAATAACGTTGGATGGCAATTTACACTCATGAACTTGCTGACAATGAATATATTATACTACAGTTTTGGTTTATGAATGAAATAAATACTGACACCAGTCTAGAAGACATTCTACTTTTTACAATAAATTTCATTTGTAATTTTATATGTTCCGTGGCAACACTTTTGTGCATTACATCCTCTAGAGGGAACATAAAAAAGATACCAATAAAATTTTGTAGCTGAACAGTTATTAACAAGAAGTGCTGTGGGATTCTTTTTTTTTATTTATTTATTTTTTCCTCTTGAAATGAGTTCTATTTTGATACAGTTTGCAGGAACCTGGGGAAAATTCTGTAGGATGTTAAAATGGAAACAGTTGAGGGTTCCTTCTGATCATCTTTTCTGTAAACCCAAATAGGTGGCCAGCTTGCATCCAGTTCCTTTCTCATGGTGTAGAACAGAATGGCTGAAGGATGCTTATCAGCTTCATTCAGAGAATGAGGAACAGTTACCATTAAAGTTGCCATACAAACTAGTTCCTAAATAAATACCAATGTATTTCAGCAAACATAAGTCAAAATTAAACAATTATACTCCAAAGTACAAGGAGCATAAATCTTTTTACCAGACTTCTTTATCACTCATTCCAATTCTAATAAAGTCATCAAAATTCTGTATGATGATTTAACAAAATGAAAAGTTACATTTTATCAGTTCCTTAAGATAACACTGCTAGAACTCAGAAGCTGTAATGAAAAGGTATAAAAAATGCTCAAATACCTGACAAATAGATGCATTTATTTCTGAGGCTCATATTACTAAAATACACTTGATATGGAGAACTTCCATAACTAGGATAAATGTTTCCTTTGAAAGTTATATTGATTTTTTTTCATTTTGTCTCTTATATAAAGATAGATCTATATTTGGTTATTTTCTACAAATTTATTTTCATTTTATTTAGAATATATGATTAGTAAAATATTTTGTTACTTATCACACAGACCTTGGCTAGGTATATTTTACAACTTCTCCTTATTTTCTGATTAAAAGCAATGTTAATGTCAACTTTCTTGAGTTTAAAGGGTATCTTTCTAAAATAACACAACAGGACTCATGAAAGGAATGTGAGATTGAAATGAAACAGAAAAATACAATTGATGTGAACATTCTGCACACTCAGGTTATGCATTTTCATTTAAAAAATATTAAGTTGATAAATCCCACAACAAGTATTTAGTCAATCAGAAAAACAAAACATAATGACCAATGTCTAGTATCTGGCTGAACTTTTGTTTTTAATAAACTATCTGTCAACAGAAAATTCACGTAAAAACTAAATGTTCTTCAAATTTCTGATGTGATTGCAAATTGTCTCTATTGGTAAGATTAATACTTGCTTTCATAGTATTTCCTTTCCTTATAGAAAAAGAAAAAAGAGTTGGATTCTTTTTTAAAGTAGTATATTTGCTCTCTTTTGTTCCATCATATTCTTCCCTCACACATTATATCTCAACTGTTGTATCCACTTCCTCCACCCTTCCCAGCTCCATTTCCTTTCTTTTTCCACAGATTCACTATGTTCATATGGTCTTTATTTATAATAGCCAGAAACTGGAAACAACCTAGATGTCCCCCAACCAAAGAATGGCTATAGAAAAGGTGGCACTTTTATAGAGTGGAATGTTGCTTGGCTATTTAAAAAAATGACATGAAATTTGCAGGAATATGGATAGAGGTAGAAAAAATTTTTCCTCAATCAGGTAACCCAGACCCAGAAGGACAAGCATGTATATGCTCAGTAATTAGCAGACATTGGCTGTTACATAAAGGATAGTCAAATTCTTAATGACCACAAGCCAAGAAGTTGAACACAGAATGAATTTAATCACTTTTATTTGCAACACTGATTTTTAAAGGAAGTACTATATCCTTTGTTTTATTTTATATAAAATCAAAGAAAAGTGACAAGAAAGTGTCTCAAAATCAGCAAATGTAAAACACATGAACTCCCAGCATACCTGAAAAAGTAATAAAATTATCATTTACCTTCTATAATCAGTCACTCACATTTGAGCAGCCTCTTCAATGTGTTTAAAATGAGTTTTTCAAAACCATTAGGGATGTCAAATGACCTAACACTCTGCTATTCAGAAACAAAACACTGTACATAATTATTGGGAAGCTTTATAAAGCAATCATTTAGAGGTAAGTACAAAAACAAGCACTGTTGCTACATCTATTATTGCATAATTCATGATGGCATTTACAGCATGAGGGACAGAAGATCCCATTACCACAGGTAAGAAAGTATTTAAAGGCTTTATGTAATGGTTAATATTAATGTAAAAGCAGATTGAATAGAATACAGTAATATTAGCTTCAACTTTCTGGCTACACTATTTCATTAAAGCATTTGAGTCTCTTAGTGGTCTCTATGAATGACAGAGGAAAAAATGAATTCATCTCTTTAAATAAAATTTCTATGATAATTAAAATAATGTATGTAACCATACAAAGAAAATTATAAAATGCTGATACATCTTTAAAAGATATATGACTAAACTATAGCTCTAACTTCCACATGTAAATAAGGAAATGTCTGTCTAATAAGTAGTAGACAACATAATAATCTATTATTCACAAAGACTGTGGAGTTCATAACAATTTTAGTACTCTTGAACTGTTTTATATGCAAAAATTTCTTCTTGTAATTGTTTAAAGAATTTGAGAATTACTTGTTTTAGTTTAAGACAGGGTGTCCTAAAGCCCTGACTGCTAAGAAAACCAGGTCTTCAACATCTGATCATCTCACCCCTGCCTCTATAAGTACTAAAGAATATGGAAATATGCATTGAAAATAATTTCTCTGACAAAGTCCCATTTACAACAAACTCATAGTTTTAGATGGAGAGTTTTTCCTCAAGTTTCCTTTTGTTGTTAACATGTTTGTAAATGTTTTGTTATTCATTTACACATATGTGTGTATGTCTATGTATGTATGTGTTATGAGTATGTTTTTCCTGCCCGCCTGGTCCCATAGTCACACTAGCCCCAAATAACACACTGAGATGCTGTATTAGATATAATTCTGTTGGCCTGCTAATAGCATTTCTTATTGGCTAGCTCTGTCTTAAATATTAACACATTTCTATTAATCTAATTATTTCCACGTGGTCTTATCTTACCAGAGAGAGGGGCTGGTATTCTACTCTCTCTCTCCTCCATGTTGAATTTCTTCCCTTCTTCTTCCTCTCCCCTCCTTGTCTCCTAGTCCCTCCTATCTTGCTTTCTTATTGGCCAACAGTGATTTATTCATTAACCGATAAGGTAAACATATATACAAAATAACATCTGCCATCATCTCCTCTTTTCTGTCTAAAATAAAAAGAAGGGTTTTAATCTTAACAAAGCAAAATATATAAGAAAACAGTATTCAAATAAGAACCACAGTTAACAATATTTAGTTCATTAACATTTAGCAAGATTTAACGAAAATATTGAATCATTTATCCTATCTTTGTGAGTCTAAAATATTATTTGTACCTTATCTTTAATCTTAACTAAGGAAAACTATAACCTTATCTGTCCTCAACTCCATCAAAGACCACAGAAGGATAATATATAAAGTCTAGAAATGGCAGAGATATCTTACTACCTGATCAGTCACGTGAAGATCTTCTGTAGTGTTCCATCATCTGCCTATAGCCATAGTCTGTCTGCAGACTCCTCAGAAAACCAGGAAACTTTAAACTGTCTACCTGTATTGGCAGTTTGTCAGTCATTTTTCTCTGTGTCATTCAGACTGTCTGGCAGACTCTTTCATGAAGCAGGAATCCTGTAGCAATGTCCATCTTTTGTCAGCAGTCACTTTTCTGTGGCTCCTGCATGTCCAGGTTTTGTAGCACAAAGTCAAATAGTCCAGAGAAGAACAGTATCTTGCTCAAAGTGTAGTCTTGTCATATTGAAAGCAAACTCTATAATGAGTATCTTTGGTGTTTGTCTACATTTGTGATGCAGGTGGTGTGCCAGGAGCAGTTATGTCTCACTGTTAAGAAAAACTCTATACCATTTTAAATGCCATATTCTGTAGGTCTTTGAAAGGTGTAAAGAATGCCTATCTCAAATACATCTTGAAAACATAACTAATTTAACTCATTTTGATTATCATAGGTAACTACTTATAATCTGTACTAAATTATACATTACATGTCTAAATGAGCTATATAAACATTATACCTAAACAAGAGGATAAATATACATATTACAAAATTGACATTAAATTTGTATCAATAAATGAAAATGCATTCGAAAACAAAGTATTCATTTCTACATCATAATCCCCTTTTTACCTTTAAAAACAGATTGGTTGTGATTATTAACCATTTATAACAAATCCCATTGAAAATGAAAACAAATATTTATAGAAAATATTTGGGAATTTGGGCATTGTACTTTCTAACCTACTTCCTGCTGGTAGGGGGCGCTGTCGTGGGGATCCTAAGAAGTCACAGAAATCCTGGCTGTAATCTGCAAGTCTGCCTTGTCCCATGGACATTGCTTCAGGGGATCTTGCTTGATTAAACCATGTTAATCTGGAAGGAATCCACAGCTTTTTATTTTCTATGAAAACAAAAATAGAAATCTTTTTCCCCAGTAACCTGTCCTTGAACTTAAATTTTGGAGTCAAAGCATTTTTAAAATATATAAATTGAACTAATTCAGTGGGATTTATTTTAACAGTTGTTGCTATTTCCTCATCAGTCAAACAATACAAAGATAAAAGAATACAATATATTATTCACACTCTTTTTTGTGCTTCCCATCTATACATGGCTTTTCTTATTACTCTATTGTTTTATTAATATTTTTTCTTTTTTGAGACAGGGTTTCTCTGTATAACTTTTATATGTCCTGGAATTAACTCTGTATATCAGGTTTACTTTGAAATCACAGAGATTTGCTTGCCTCTATCTCCTGAGTGCTGGAGTTAAGGGGTGTGCCACCACACTCAGCTATTCTCTGTGTTTTTATTATTCTATTTTAAACAATTTTATTCTGTTTCTTTTTCTCTCCCAAGACTACATATATTTTAAAACATACTGTAAACCTTTAGAGGCTTTCCTTAATCTGAATCTGTCTTTACTGTAAATCTTTATATTT